TTGATTGTGGCTGTCAGCTTGGAACTTATCTGGTTCTGAGGGACAGGGATCTTGGTTCCTTTCTGTGTGGGCCTTTTCATATGACATGGGCTTCTTCACAGCACGGTGGCTGGAAAAAAAAAAAAAAATGTGTGCCCCCAGAAAGAAAGAGCCATAGTCTCAGAAGTCACATATAATCACATCTGTCACACTTCAATAGCCGAGGAAGTCACAAAGGCCAGCCCAGGTTCAAGTTGAAAGAACAGACTCCAGTTCTCAATGGGAAAGTAGCAAAGTTCTGAAATATAATGTGAGATAGGAAATATTGCTGTAACCATTTTGGAAAATTCACTGTGGCACAGAATTGGTGAAAGGCAATTAGATACACAGATCTGGAATTTAACAGAAAGATTTGAGGTAGATGGTGCTGTTTGGGTGATCATGATTATGTAGATGGTAATTGAATCCCTGAGATTGGCCATTTTCACCTCAGTATTGTATTTAGAGTGAAGAGGTGAGTAGGGAAAGGAGAATTTTAAGGTTCACCGACATTAAATGAGCAGAGGAAAAGAACTGTTCAAAGACAGTAAGAAATGTCCAGATAGAGTGGAGGAAGACTAGAGTGTGGTGTCAGGAAAGCAAGGCAAGGAAGCATTTGAGAGAAATGTCCAGTTTCCAACACAGCAGAGGATTCCAGTAAGATAGGAACTAAAATGTAAGACTTAGGATGTAACTGGCATTAGCAAAATTGATGAGAGTGGTTTTGGTGGCTAGGAAGTACAGGAGCTAGAGGAGTTGGAAACTGTGTAAGTAGAAACCTTCTTCAATAAAGGTGACTGAGGAAAGATAGAAAGAGACAGGAAACCTTGGGTCTAGAAAGTTCTCTGTTATAAAATGAAAGAGTTGAGCTTATTTAAAAGCATTTAGGGAAAGCCTTTAGAGCAGAGGTAGATTGAAGATACAGGAGAAAGAGAAGGGCAGTAGATGGAACAGTGGCCTATGTTCTTTCTCTCCATACTGCAGTGGGAATGTAAAATTCAGCACATTGTTTGGATTTATGTCTCACAACTTGAGAAACACTGAGCTAAGACCATGTCATTTGATTTGTATGTGATATTTGGCTAAAAATTATCACAAATTATATGATAATTTGACTTGGTTTGGCATCTGGTATGTGGCATCTGGAATGAAACTGAGTGACTACCTGATGAGAAAACAGATTTAATTAACTGACACGATCAGGTAAAACATGAATGGATTATTACCATGTGTTTATATTATGTATTTATTTACATAATACACGATCCAAGTGATCTTGTTAGTGAAGCAGAATATAGAATACGCACCTAAAATTATGATTAGATTATTTCCTTGAAAGCCTTATCCTGATTAGTGCTTGTATCCCAAAATATGTATCAATCTAATATCATGGGATCTGTTTAGTGAGTAAACATTAATTCTTGTTTATTTTATTTAGCTGCGTTGTACAAAAACGTTAAAATTCAGTTTGTTTCCCTTTTGTGTATTCTGAACACATTCATATTCAGCTTAGCTTACTCTCATTAATTTATGTATGCATTTATATAGTTTAAGAAGTTCCATTGTTTGAATAATTATTTGTATGCTAAGCAACAATAGATGTCATAAGATATAACCAAGCAAATTTTGATTTGAGTGTTTGCAAAGCTAGATTATAATACTAAATATGGAAATAATTATATTTTAAAATTTGAATCTATCGGACCAAATAAAATACTATCCAGCGTATCACATTGAGATAATAACATTGAACATTTGACTGACATCTATGCACATACATAAGAAACCCAATAATCCTCACCTGCCAAGCATATAATCTAGATTAAATAGACCTGCCAAAAAAATTCAAAAGAATAATTTTGAACTGGACATTTGCAAAGAGAAAGTAAAATGTGAGTAACAGAATACAGCCAGAAGCAAATTTATTAGTCTAAGACTTACAAGAGTTTCAAAATAAGTTTATTAGAGGCAGAATGACAGTTGGCTGTGAAAAAGGGAGAATATATAGATATTTATGATGATGTAAATGAATGAAAGCAGATAGAAGATGATTAATATCAGAAAATATTGAGTTTGTTGAAGCTCAAGTGAAATAAATTAAAATGAGTTAAATAGTACAGCAAGTGTGAGAGTAGTGGAAAGTCTGATTACATTGATAACAGTATAGTAGGAATAAACAGTAGAGAAACTTTGTGCAGAGTATATTAGTTGTTTTTGACCCTTTTTTAGTAGTGTAATACTTTTTGCACATAAAATTTTGTATTGGTAGTAGCTCAATATTTGAAATAGATGAAATCAGAAGTGCTGTTGGGTTATTTGAGGAGAGAGGGGTACCAGGGGAATGTGTCCACCATGCCCACCCATTCCTGTCTCACCAGAGGTTCTCATGCAAAGCTATACACATCCTCCTAGGGAACTTGTGGGGTTCCTGGAAAAACACAGTTTGGAAACCAAAACTTTACAATGGTATGGTTTTAAAGTGCCATAATAGAAAGGATGATGTATATGTTCATTATATGCACGAGTAACTTAAAGTACGTGACTTGTAAATCCTATTTGCTTATATTTTCTCAAACAAGTATTAAAATCTGTGTATAGTTTCAGCACCAAACTGAAAGCCAGTATTTTAGATGAGTTCTAAAACTCTTCGACTTCATTTTTTTCAGTAAAGTATAATAAAAATTAATTGAACCAGATTATTTACTACATAAAGATTGAGAGTGGGCCCTCAATTTGCATGAAAATCAAGAGACCAAGAGAATACGAAAACACAAAGGAGCCGAGTACCTCCAGGTTATATGCTAAATGTATAGAACTTACTTGAATACACCCAAAACCTTGGTGGAACATTCACAAGATTAATGTTGGATCCAGCAACTTGATATATCAGGTCACTTCAGTAATAGAACCGAATTGAATTGAAACCCAAGACACTCAAACGTTGTATTATGATGTTTCTTATATCTTGCAAGAAAATTATAGCCAGTCAGTGTCAGAACAAGCTTTCCAGTTTGGTCAGTCTGCTCAAGTGATCAAATTCAGTTCGTGGGTGAGCGTAGAATTAGAATTGGGTGTTCTTCCTTGATAGAATTTCTTTATAAACCCTAATACAATATTCATGAAAATAACTAGTATTGTTATATAGAATCTGAATACTCCATTTTGGATCAACTATGGTATTTTACCTTCTAATCCTTTAACTCTCTTATTAAATAATAGAACTACTTAAACTATATACATGCATATAGAAAATTTGTGTTCATAAAATCTGCCACTTACTAATTGCCTCCTGTGTCCTCATAGGATAGTAATTTTACATATGTTATCTCATTAAATCCTTGGCATACTGTATATTCATAGTTGAGGCAACATTAAGTAATTTAGCCAAAGTCACCTGGCTAATAAGTAAAAGCACAAGGATTTGAATTTGTTTGTAGACTTTGCAGTCTTTCCCCTATATCTTAATGTCATTTCTATCCTAGTCTTGTCCATTTGAATATAGACTCTGATCCTTTAGTTTTTCCAGAACATACACAATATCTCTTAGAGCAAATCATCTAAACAAGTCCAACAGCATCATTTTCTGTTCATTGTTACCCTCTTCTGTTATAATTACCTTGCCTAGACTCTACCCCCAATTTCAAGAGGCACAATAAACAAGAACGAAAGAAACACCTCCAAGTTTTATTAATTTATCTAATTTAATTATGCTTCATAATTTTCTAAAACCCAGATATTGTCGAATACAGAAATAAATGTTATTCATATAATTCATTTTTTCTAGAGCCTATTATTACTTTAACAAAGCAAAATCTAATTTATTGTATCACAATGAACTACTTTAAGATAAATACCTCTCGATTATCCAATAATCTAGGCTTCTTAATGAATTTAGCAATTAAAATTAGCAACTAAAACCACAAAACAAAAATTTTATAGAAAGTAAGACTTCTTAAACTAGCTATATAAGCCAAGGAGAAATAGGACCTTTAGCCATATGTGATAAACTATAAGAATTTGGAATTCAAACAGTCTTGCTTTACTGTATAAACAGGAAGAGAGTATCCCCTAATGCAGGTTTGTATCCTTTAAAATGTAAATTAGAAAAAGGCATCCAAGTTTGGACATCAGCCATGTCAAAAGAATGATCGAAATATGACTGGGCAAGAATATTGAGAGGAATTTTTTTCCTTTTATGAATTTGCCTCATTGTCCTTGCAACACCTGGGAGCATAGAGAAGAAAGGCAAAATGAGGCTGCACACTTATTTACCTCGGGTCCTCTTACCTCCGGAGCACTTGGTTCTACTGGGTTTTGGAATTGCCTTGTCTTAGCTTAATGGCCTCCCTGGCAGCTACACATCTGGCTGCATTCTGCTAAGCATCTAGGATGCCCAATAAGTGACTTTCCAGACAGCATAACTTCTGTTTTCAAACGTGATTCAAGAGAACTCTAAGGTTGTGATAAAAAATAAATTTGCCACTTTAAAAAAAAAATGGTAACATTTTAAGCTAACAAATGCAGTCCAATTCAAAATAGAAAAGATATGCGTGCAGCTTAGGAAGGATGGCACCAAGGAGATTTAAATGCTCCTCCAATTAAGACTCAGAAATTTTGAAAGTATAATAGAGAGAAAAATTTGAATTTGTCGCACTTCAAAGTCTGTAGCATAGGTTTTGCCACGTTATCATGAAATGCTGTATATTACTTCATTTTAGTCAAATTTCTCTTCAATTCAAATCTGCTTCCTGAGAAAGGAAGCATATAGCCCCTTGTTACCTCACTCAATGCAGAGCTTTGAATGCAAGCTCAATAATTAATTAATTGATTATACAATTAATTGTACACTTGGCTTTTACTCTTTCCTTATATTATATTCCTGACATACCAATGATTCAGAGATTTTTTTTTTTAATTTCATAGACTGTAGTTGTGGAAGTCAATTAGAGTGTGCTAATGGTTTCTTTTTTCTTTTGTTTCAGTCTGTTCCCAGTATTCTAGAGGAGTATTTGCCATTTTTGGACTCTATGATAAGAGGTCAGTACACACCTTGACGTCTTTCTGCAGCGCCTTACACATCTCCCTCATCACACCCAGCTTCCCCACTGAGGGGGAGAGCCAGTTTGTGCTGCAGCTAAGGCCTTCCTTACGAGGAGCACTCTTGAGTCTGCTGGACCACTATGAGTGGAACTGTTTTGTCTTCCTGTACGACACAGACAGGGGTAAGTCATGATACCACATCTACATGAGTAAAACTTTAATTTTTAACCTGAAATGGCTTCGTACTGCCTGTGTGATTTAGCAAAATATTTTGGTCCCTAATGAGGCTAAATCAGAAATGGTTGATGTATATTATCAGTGTTTTTATCTTGACTGTAAGAGGAAATTTCTAATTAAACAAGCTTCAAATTCACAAGGTTGCTCATGAGGAACCCATGCTCTGTTACTTCATCGAAATTAAGATAAATAATTCGTTAAAAATTTTTGTGATGATATTATAGGTACAATCATAAAATAAATATACCTTTTTTTTACCTCAAATGCAAATGATTTAATGTTTTAGAACATCTTAAAATAGTAACAGGTCAAGCCATAGTGTTGAGTTTGAAATATGAAACTTTAAATGAGTCATTGAAGGGTTATGATAACGACAATAGAGATTTGGTGGTAAGGCTTCTGCTTGCTGGCAACCTTTCACTTTATCTTTACCTATCAGGCTGGAAAGATTAATAAGTGATATCACACGTGTTGGAGAAACAAGGTGGTTAACTAGCATTAAATTATTGACAATCTGTACATTTTTGTACAATATTTAATATATTTTGACTTTTCGGTTGGAGACATAACTTAAGGAGTTCCCATATATTTTTTTCAATTCTGTTTTTTATTTAATGACTGGAATCATAGAAATATATTATATTTCAGAATAAACATCAGGGAGCCACCTGTGGGGGTTTGTCTTCAGTCTTTTTTCCTTAAAGTATAAGATTCATGAGAAGACAAGGATTTAGAACAAAAGTTGAAACAGGTAACATTTTAAGAACGTCCTTGAACAGAATTCTATCTGTAAAATGAGTAAACAATAAATATAAAAACAATAAACAAGCATAAATCTTTTAATGATATAATTACCTTCAAAAGTCCAAAGCATAATTTCCCATACTCAGAGATGAAAACTCATTAAATGAATTCATCTTTTTCATTAAAACTTACATATTTAATTAGATGAAAACAGTATGACATATAGGATGTCACACCAGTGGTGGTCCTAGTACATTACTTGTTATATCAGCATTCTTGGTAAATTTTTCTTTCAGAAACAAGCTCAAAAAATTTAATATCATCAGTGTACTTTCTGCATGGTTGCAGCATACTCTAATTCTCCTTTATAAATATGGGAACCTACCTGTATATCATAATAAGCATCTTAGAGAATGTATTACAGATTAGAGAATTAATCGCTCTTCATTTCTAACTTTTGTAAAAATCCTTAAGCAAGAGGACACTGAAAATTGAATCATAATGCAAATTAAAACAACAGTGAGATACCACTACATATCTATTAGAATGGCCAAAATCCAGATCACTGACAACACCAAATGGTAGTGAGGATGTGGAGTGACAGGAACTCTCATTCGTTGTTGGTGAAAATGTAAAATGGAATAGCCACTTTGGAAGACAATTTGGCAGTTTCTCACAAAACTGAATATTGATATGATCCAGCAATCATGCTCCTTGGTATTTACCCAAATGAACTGAAAATTTATGTTCACACAAAAACCTGCACACAGATATTTTTAATAGCTTTATTCGTAATTACCAAAACCTGGAAGCAACCAAGATTACTTCAGTTGGTGAATGGATAATTAAACCATGGTACATCCAGACAATGGATTATTTAGAACTAAAAAGAAATGAGCTGTCAAGCCATGAAAAGACATGAAGGAAACTTAAATACATATTACTAAGTGAAAGAAGCCAATATGAAAAGGCTATATGCTGTATAATTCCAACTATATGACATTCTGGAAAGGGCAAAACTATGGAGACAGAAAAAAGATCAGTGGTTGCCAGAGATTAAGGTGAAGGAGGGATGAGTAGGTAGAGCACAGAGGATTTTTAGGGTAGTGAAAATGCTCTGTATGATACTATAATGGTGGTACACATCATTATACATGTGTCCAAACCCATAGAATGTACAGCACCAAGCGTGAACACTAATTTAAACTGTGAACTTTGGGTGATAATGATATGTCAATGCACATTCATCAATCGTAAAATATGAGGGTCAAATGCAAAAAATAAAAATACACTTCAATAAAATTGATTTAATATGCTAAAAAAATTAATCATAATGTCAAGAAATATATACTAGGATGTGGATGACATGATTCCTCCTGTGGTTCATTATGATACAGCTCAGTTTGCCACTTTGGGCAGAAGATCCTTATATTATGACATCTTGGTCTCGTAGAAATACCAGCAGAATCTGTGTCTCACTTTTTCCCTCTGCCCCTGTATAAACCAATCTCTGGCAAGGAGAAGGCTGTAGGCATTCATGCATCAGCCTCCCCACCAAACAGAGATTAAAAGTGGTGCTTTGCTTTTGTACCAGTTTATACTTTCCAGGATCCTCATTCCTACATAGTGTCAGGGGAAGAGGGAGGATCTCCCTCTGCCGTTCCCTTAAGGTTCTTATGGCTGGCCAAATAATTAACAAGACAGGTTAGCAGGAGAAAATAATACCAAGTTTAATAACATGTATACATGGGAGAAAGCAGGGACACTGCGTTTCTCAACACAATAGCAGAAATTCTCGTCTTAAATACCATGTTCAGCCAACGACAAAGGAGGATGTTGGGGGGTGGGGGGAGTCAGTTACAGGAGATTACCACTAAAGCACAGTAAACAAGAGTAAGGTTATTATGCAGATTTAAGGCCTCACCTTCCACATTGATAAGTCTCTAGAAATGAGGCCATCCCCCCTCTTCCCAAAACAGAGAGGGAGATACCTTTACAAATGGAGATTTCCCTTATAAATGTAAATGTTTGTCTGGCAACTCCTTGCAGGGCCATCCAGAGAATGTGGCCAGAGAGACAGAACTTCCGATAAGATGGGCTTGTTGGTGCCTTTCCTATTGTAACATTTATCCTACATTATCTTTGCAGCCATCATGATAGAAGATCTGTTCCAGGAAGGAGCCACCATGTCAAATTCTTTAGGCAGTTAGTGGGGGAGGTCAAATGTCCTCAGAGAAAACAACCAAGGTAAAGAGATAGATTTCAGGGTGGCCAAATCTTGATCTCCCACAATAGCAAGTCAGATGCTCCAATTTTGAGCCACCTTCCGTTACCTCTTCCCATGGGATGTTTGCAGTATAAGCAGACATACTTGGTTATTTAAAGAATCTTTCTCCTGGTTAAATTTCCTCCTTCAAAGGCTTAAACCCACCATGGTCCAAGCACTATGTCTTCTACTATAGCATCATGTAACCTTTAGCCTACTTATCGTTTTGTTACACAAAGCCTACTTTTTCCTTGTCATCACCCTAGAATTCAACTGTTCCATTTCTAACCAATTGATACAAGTCACTCTCTAGAATTTCTTAGTTCTCTCCAATAGTTGCTTCAGGATGAATAGCTAGTCCTTTGTATTGCCTTCTATTCTAGTAATCCAACTCAACTTCAAAATTGACATCTTTATTCCCAGAAGTAATTGCATGAATGAAAAATAACATGCCAGGAAAATGGCCATTTCTTGATGTTCAGATGGCTTACTCTGATATCACCATGCTTTCCAATATTCTGAGTCTTAATCAGGTACCTGTAAAGGACAAGAATAACTTTTCCTCCCTTTGAAATTGTTGTGCTAATTTTATAAATTTAGGATCACAAGCCTAATTTATTTCCTCTTAGATACTGTGCTTAAAATTACGTGCCACTATCTACAATTCAGATCTGAACCTCAGTTATGAACATATGATTAACTTTATCATAAACGTAGTTGGCTAAGAGTCATCCATATTTTCACATGATGAAGAAAATAAGAACACTTCAACATAAAAGATCAGAATATTTTTAAAATAATGCACAAAACCAAGTGTAAAGAAATAAGATAGTATGGTACATTTTGGTACTTTTGTCTAATCCTCTACTGTTGTCATGAACTGCTTATCCAAATATTAACTGCCTTAATATGACCCTGAATTTCTCCACAAACTTGAGTGTAACATGGCTTTCTGATGCATCATAAATCCTTATTTTGGAATAAGTTATTTCATTGATCCACTCAATTATGTCTGATATCTTAATCTGATAGTGATATAATGATCTCTTAAGATACAAGAGCGTCACTCTGTCATAACTTAAAGTAGCATTTTTATGTCAAATTATAGTCACTAAAAGGAAAGATACTTTATTTCCTCTGATATAAGACCTGTGTTCTAGTCCTGGTCTGCTACTGATGAGCTGTGTGAATCTGCCTATACTTTTGTCCACATCTATGAAAGAAAGGAATGAAAGAAGGGAAGAAGGGAGGAAGGAAGGAAGGGAGGGAGTGAGGAAGGAAGGAAGGAGGGAGGGAGAGAGGAAGGGAGGGAGGAAGGAAGGAAGGAAGGAGGGAGGGATGGAGGGAGGGAAGGGGGGAAAGAGGGAAAGAAGGAAGGAAGAAAGAGAGAAAGAAGGAAGAAAAACAGAGGAAAGGAGGGAGGAAGGAAGAAAAGAAAAAATTGAACTGCATTGTCTTTAAGGCCCATTCAAACCATCTTTAAGTTTTCTGTAAATTTATATTCCAAATATTCTATTTCTTCCCTAGAAATGGTGGACAGAAAAAGAAAGATAGTAGGTGGCATAAGTGATCTCTTTATCAGCTGATAACTTCCCGCTTCTGTTCATTTGACTGCCTCTCAAAGAAAAAAAAAGTGTTCATTTATTCATTCAATTTATCTATTTAGCATTCAATAAAAATTTATTATTCAATTTGTCTGTATCAGGCACTTTGATAGGTAGTAAGAATGCAATAATGAGCAAGACACTACTGAAAATAAACTCACTTGTTATGAGTTCATTAGGAAATAGTACACAATGCTCTACTTGACAACCATACATAGCTTGATACATAACTTGATACTTTTAGGATTTTAATCTAGAACACAACTATTTTCCAAAAAGATCATTGCCTTTTTTTGAAAAACAAATATAAAACATCATTTAAATACTAACT